CATAAGATATAAATATTGTTAGGTTTATAAAACATTGGTCATAAGATATAAATATTGTTAGGTTTATAAAACATTGGTCATAAGATATAAATATTGTTAGGTTTATAAAACATTGGTCATAAGATATAAATATTGTTAGGTTTATAAAACATTGTTTATAAGAAATAAATATTGTTAGGTTTATAAAACATTGGTCATAAGATATAAATATTGTTAGGTTTATAAAACATTGGTCATAAGATATAAATATTGTTAGGTTTATAAAACATTGGTTCATAAGAAATAAATATTGTGATACTGACAGTAATTTTGCGTTTTTCTATTTTGAACAAGACATTATAATTATTTTAAAATAATAAACACGCATACATGCTAATTCAGCCCAGAATAATTTCTAGGTAGGTGGTCAACAAACCCAGTCAACTGGAAGGTTTAGGTGGCTGAAAAACCCAGTCCATTGGTAAGTTTAGATGGTTGAACATACCAAGTCAACAAACCCAGTCCATTAGAAGGCTTAGGTGTTTAAATAAATCTAGTCTACTGGTATGTTTAGATTGTCGAACAAAGCCAGTCCACTGGTAGGTTTATGTGGTTAAACAAACCCAATCCACTGAAAGGTTTAGGTGGTTAAACAAACCCAGATAATCTGCAAGGTTTAGGTGGTCGAATAAACTAAATCCACTGGTAGGTTTAGATAGTCGAACAAACCCAGTCCAGTGGTAGGATAGAGTGGTCAATAAACCCAGTCCACTGGTAGGCTAGAGTGGTCAATAGACCCAGTCCACTGGTAGGTATAGATAATCGAACAAACCCAGTCCAGTGGTAGGATAGAGTGGTCAATAAACCCAGTCCACTGGAAGGTTTAGGTAGTCAATAAACCCAGTCCACTGGTAGGATACAGTGGTCAACAAGCCCAGTCCACTGGAAGGTTTAGATTGTCGAACAAACCTAGTACACTGGAGGGCTTAGGTGTTGAAATAAACCAGCCTACTGGAAGGTTTATGTGGTCAACAAACCCAGTCTACTGGTAGGATAGAGTAGTCAATAAACCCAGTCTACTGGTAGGATAGAGTAGTCAATAAACCCAGT